TAATCTCAATCTCTCCTAAGCCGCATGTTTAACCTTCAAAGAAGAAACCCAAAATTAGGTAATAGTGGCTAACAAACCCATTGTTACTTGATTGCCTCTACGGTTGAGAAGGATTACTTACGGAAAATTTATAAAGGTTGACAATAAATTGAAAGCATCTCTGAAAACACACAAAAATTGACCACAACATTCTCCATTGCCTCTGTGGATGAGAAGTTTGCAGTTTGTACTAAATAATTGGCAAACTTGAGATGGTGAGCAGTACATCCATTGGAAGTTTAGGCTCCATTTCCATTATTGATTGAAGCATAATCTGCATTAGTATCCTAGAACCAAAATAGGCCAACAAAACCTCCCACTGTTTTGTAGGTGATCACTTGTATATGCATAACATATATTGGAAGATAGACTTCGCTGAGTTGTAGGTAGAATTTTAAAAAAATTAACTATAATGACACAAGATGACACCTTTCCAGAACAAAGATTACAAGTTTTGCATACCCCATCACACATCATAATCCTAACCATATTCACATCAACAACCGAGAGCTCCTCACTGGCACATTACAAAATAGAGGTCATGATCACAAAACAATAATGTGGCGAAATTGTCTCTGTAGAAACATCATGAATGAAGACATTCCAGACTTCAGAGGTTAATTCAAGTCCATATGCTCCTAAAAATCTCAATAGAATACCAACAGGAGATAAAATGTTAAAATAAATTAGACAGGGCTAGAGCATGTTTACCTGGTAACATAATGTTGGAGCAACCATGAAGTATGCCAAACTCTTAAAGCTCACATCATAGCTGAAATCCGTATTCAAATAGTTGGGCAAGACTTCCCCCTATCATTAGAAAAGGAGCTTAAAAGAACTGGCTTATGCTTTCTAAAAATGTCAGACTCAAGAACTTGGCGCAAAACACATTTATTTTGCACCTTCAAGTTTTCAGGAGTCCTCTAATTAGGAATAAAAAATCAGTAGGTAAATTTCTACACTATTGACAAAATGGCCCAAAAAGTTAAAAGTTATCTGGAGAATAATTACATACAAAATGTCCATCCACAAATTTTAAATTAACTTCTGAAAGCACAAAACAGACGCAAGATGTGCAGAAGTGAAAGAAAGAAAGCATAAAATAATATATGATATGCCAAGAAAGAATTTCTTAAGCTTCACCACCAAATTTCCCACCACATAGGGTCTGACATTATCCATGGAAATATTGACAAAATGACTCGACAAAAGTTGATAATCAACCAACAGAAAAGAGTGTGTTCTTCATACCTTCTCGAGTGACTTTGCAACTGCTCTCATGTCATAATTGGTATGCGCATAGGATATCAATTTTAACCACACAACGCAGGCACACAACATCAAGTTCACGCCCGAGAGAACAACAGAATCACACCTGAGCATTTCAAACCTCTGATTAATATTTCACGACTAAAATTGCGACAAACAAATGCCCAGTTTGACATGGTATTCCCATCTCCCATGTTAACAAGTAATGCCACAAAGTATATATTGCAGTAAAAAGAAACATCTGAGTCATTTTCCATATTTTATGCTTCTTGTGTTTCCACCTCCATGATGAAGATGACAGACGAGAGTAGAGCAAAAAGTTGCAACCAAGGCTATTCAACCTAATATTGATTTCAAGACTAATAAAAAAAAAGGAAAAGAAATCACATTTTAGTTGTCAAAACCTGACATACATTTTTCATAATTAATCAGAGATCAACTTGTGTGCAAGTCTTGACACATTCAGTAATTCATTTTAGAACTTAAGAAAAAAAAATTTATTGTCACTGCTCTTAAACATATCTCACAACTATCCAAAACGGTAATGCAAAATGTATAAAAGCAGTTCTACATCATTTTTCTTTGAACTTGCATGGTGGACCTGATGGAAATAAAGAACCACACACAGTCACAATGCTATAAGTTGATAACAAACCTTAGAATGACAACAACAGGATACAGAATCGCAGTTGTACTTATTATGATATGTAGAATGACAACCACCTGCAAAATTTAGCCCATGTCTTTCAATGTCAGGATGAAAAAGAAAAAAAAGGAGAAAGCAAAAATAACAAACAACTACATTCATACAAAATCCAGATACATACCATTTACAAATACCTAGTGATGATCCAACATAAAATAGAAATTGAAACTTACCGGTTCAGAAATGTACTTTTTCTGCACCAATTTTTCAACAAAAAATGACGCAAGCGGGAAAACAAGAAGACTGAGACTGCAAGATACCAGAAAAGGAAATAAGTATTTAGGCTCACATATGTAACCCAAAAAAACCAACCTTAACTCTTTGCCGTTCTAGTGTTTGGAATTGGCAAGGAGGAGACTAACAAAAGCAAAAAAAGAGAGTCAGGGGGTAAAGTTACCAGCACATGAGAAGAGGCCAATCCCCCAGTGATCTCGAACTAAACCAAAAACCTGACTTAATTAACCACCCATACTGTAAAGATATTAAGAACGCAGTCAATATGGTATGAATATAACCCAAAACTCTCAAATAGATGGCAGGCCAGAATATACAAGCTAGTGCTAAATTAGTACTGCTTAATAAACATCTGTTGTTGCTACATGGTAGAATGCAATAAAGTCTGCACTGAGGACTGCTAATGTGCTTCATATGTGTCAGAAAAAATGTAACGTTAATTAACAAGCATAACTGCCAGAAGTAGTCACACACCTTCATCAAATTTTCAATAATAAGCCGGCCGTTTACCGCAACAAGTACCACAATACAGAGATTGAAAAGACCCGCATGGCTCTGAAACAAAAATTGCAATGAGTGCCCTGCACTACAACATTCTACTGAAAACTTTACGGAAAAGAAAAGGTTTCAGAAAAAAATCAAATAGTTAAAAAAAAAGATTAACCGCTGCATAGAATTCAAATACTCAAATTTCAAGCCATAAGCGCCAAATCAATAAAACCTGTGAATTCTGTACACAGAGCTCAACACTAGTATACTTTACGTATCACATAACAAAGCAGTAAATCTAGCTACGTTAGATTAATTACACGTGTAATGTAATCTACGTTGCGTAATTAGTGAGGCAGCTGAAAACCTGTTTGAAAATGGCGTCAGAGCTCAGAGGGCTCTCCTTAATTCTCCGGTGAGCCGGCGCAGAAGGTCTGTAAGCAAACTTCCACGACGACGATGACGACGACTCAACTCCACCACCACTACCACCACCACCTCCCCTGCCTTCGCCACTCCCAACCTTGTCCTTATCATCCTTTGCGTTGCTCAATTCCCTCACCAATTCCACCCCACCACTACTCCCATACACCAGTTTACTTCGACTCCTTTCCTCATAATCATCCGTCGAGTTCCCTTTGGAACTCGAGTCCAAGTCCGAATCCGACTCAGACTCCTTCACTACGTCCTTCGCCGCGGCGGCGGCGACAGCGACAGCCTCCACCACCACCGAACTCGCTGTCCTCCTCCTAAGAGAACCGCTCCGATCGTAATTCGAGTTCTCCTCCCTATTCTCCGCGCTGGAGATCGTCGTAGTCGCCGTCGCTGCAACCACAACCTCCGGCGACTCCATGAACGCCATTTCCAAAATTTCTAGCTGTATACGGAGAAAATTTATGTATGCGGATGTTGTTGTAGACGAGGAAACTCTCTTTCCGTGACTCCGTAGAAAGATATAGAGAGAGAAGGATTGGGGGAACAGTCTAGAAACGACAAAGTGTGATTGGTAAAGGAGAAGAAAATTGAAGCGGTCCTGTTATATTTATGTGGAATTGTTTTTGTGTAAATGAGCAACAGTATTCAATTGGAATATCTCTATTGCATGCAGCAATTTTATATACTACTGAAGATTGTTGGTAGAGAGAGAGAGAGAGCGAGAGCGTGTGCGGGTTTTGGTGAAAGGGAATTTCCGTGGGAGGAGAAAATGGTGACGAGAGAAAGTGGGGATGAATGCCGACGGGAGAAGGAGCCGCCGCTTGGAAGTTTCTGACGGGCGGGTGCGTTTGACTGCGTGTTTTATTTTCTTTCCATTTTTCATTTTAATTAGTGGATGCTAAATAGTGAGTATATATTATGCTGGAGTATAAACTATAAAGAATGACGGTGCAAGAGGCGCGGCTTGGCCTACCCCAGAGGAAACAGGTCAGGATGACAGCGTCAGTGACCGATGGAGACCGCGTCGCTCTGGAATTGGACCACCGCACAGGTTGCTTACATATATTCTGTTGCGTTAGTTCAGGTTACGATGCAGAAAGGATTGGGGCCTAGACCCTGTGGTACTGCTACCCAATTCCGTCGAAAGCCCTCCTTGCCCGGCCATAAACGAATCTAGCATGCGAATGAATTCGAGTCGAGTTCGAGTCATCGAGTTAAATTCGAATTCGAGTTGATGGAGTGAAATTTAAATTTAAAATATTAAATTTTTAGTTCGTAAGGTACCTCGCAAGTTTGAATATATATATATTATTTTAATAATAAAATTATATATATATTTAATATTTTATTATTTATTAAAAAAATATTATTATATTTATTTTTTAAAAAATAAAATAATTAGAGCTTGACCTTTAAAATTGTCAGGTCATCGAGATCGAAGTCGAGTTCGATAAAATTAAGTTAAAGCTCAATTAGATTAGGTCAAATTTCGACTCGATTCGATTTATTTGATAGCCCTGCCCTGCATAAAAGTAGCATTATAAAATTTTTATAGTCCCACGGACATCTATGCATAGATGTTATTGTGAGATTTGTGGAATAGAGTTAAAAATTTCTAAATCTGATTAATTAAAACCTGAAAAAATTCGAGTCTAATAAAAGAAAAACTAGACACCAATACATTATTGTTTAAGTGGAGAAACATTATCCAGCCTAGATGAACAAAGATGCTCATCATTTAGGCAAAATTATTATCTAACTGCATGGTTCCTTCCTTATTGTATTTTCTTTCATTTTTGCCAGCTTTGTCTGTCTTAGAACTTCTCATGCATGAATATTCAACAATCTCTGAAGAATACCCCTCTGGGGTTGTTTAAATGAAACACGATGCTGTGTACCCTGTCTGGCCGGTGGTGACTTAGAAAAACCAGTGGAAGCTGTTCAAGAAGTGATGAAATCTTTAAGATTAAGCAATCTTTGCAAAACGTGACCCACCTTTGGTCAAACCACCCGATCTGAAAAAACGACAAGTTGAACAGAATACTTGAATAGAATACTACTATTAGGGTTCCGCAGTTTTTATCTTTCTTGATCAATTTCTTTATGGCAGGCACGTTACCCAGCTGGCACTCCTGCAATGCGTGCTGAGTTCCGCAGTTTCTCCGCAGTCTGAAGGTTTCAAATTTGGGTTTCTTTCTTCCTCCTATTCTCGACGCAGAATTAGTCAAACAATCTGCGGCTGCGCTAAGGGTTTTCCGGCGAACAATCCTAAATAATCATCCATTACATCCAACCTGACGTCAGTGCTCTCGGACCAATTGTATGTTGTATCTGAATTTGAATTCATTCATCAGCAACACAACCTGAAATTTAATTCGATGTTGACCCATCTGCTAAAGTTTGAGTAAAAGCATTTTATTGTTAAGTAATAGCCGAAATCAAAGTCCAGAAGTTAAAAAAAAAAAAGGGGCGGAGTGCTTTGGACCTAAGCTGATGCAGCGACTAAGATGAGCAGCAGTTGTTTGCAAATGAAGAAGTTGCTCTAACTGGCACTAGCTCACTATATAAAACCCAAAGAAAATTGTCAGAACAATTAGAAAGCTTTTGCAGCTCCTCAACTAAACGAGTTTTTTCAGAGAAGATCCGCAACGTTTGATGGCAGCTCCTCAATTACTACGTTGTAGAACCTTTGAATGTCAGAGAGCATTCTTTCATCGTCTCTCGTCACGAAGTTGATGGCAACACCTTTCCTCCCAAAACGTCCACTGCGTCCGATGCGGTGGAGGTAGTTTTCAGGCTGCGTCGGAAGATCATAGTTTATAACAAGGGAAACTTGTTGGACATCGATGCCTCGAGCCAAAAGATCCGTGGTAATAAGAACACGAGATGAACCAGAACGGAACTCGCGCATTATTATGTCTCTAGTGTTCTGATCCATGTCACCGTGAGTGGCAGAGACCGTATGATCCCGGCTACGCATCTTGTCAGTCAACCAGTCGACCTTTCTTCGAGTGTTCACGAAGATCACACTCTGAGTGATGGCTAAGGTCTCGTACAGATCGCAAAGCGTCTCGAGCTTCCATTCTTCCTTATCAACGTTCACAAAGAACTGCTTTATGCCCTCCAGTGTGAGCTCATCACGTTTGACAAGGATCCTGACAGGTTTATTCATGAATTTCCTCGTTATCTCGAGCGCTTCAGGAGGCATTGTTGCGGAGAAAACTCCAACTTGGACTTTTGAAGGCAGAAGTTGGAAAATGTTATAGATCTAGCATCAAGAGTGAAAACGAAATGTTCAACAAGACTTAACCGTACCGGTTCTTGATCTCTGTCTACTGCACTTCAATATGAATATGGACAGTAGTGTCAAACTATAGATGAAAAAAATGGGTTCTACTAACTCCTAGACATATATCACTTGCAGCCAGTATGTCTACACTTGTGAGGACATACAGTCACAGAAAGAGGAGAATACCTGATCCTTGAAACCTCGAGAAAGCATTTCATCGGCCTCATCCAACACAAACATTTTAAGATGGTCAGGTCTAAGGGACCGTCTTTGCAGCATGTCAAATACACGCCCGGGAGTTCCAACAACAACATGAACTCCGGAGGCCAAAATGCGTTGGTCCTCACGGACGCTGGTTCCTCCTACACAAGCATGCACCTTTACCCCAAGGTAGTCTCCCAGCGCTCGCATAACCTTCTCAATTTGCTGTGCAAGCTCACGAGTAGGTGCCAAAACCAAAGCCTGGCTTTGAACCAGTCCATAGTCTAGCTGTTGAAGGACACCAGAGCAGAAAGTAGCGGTTTTCCCAGTTCCAGATTGAGCCTGTTGAATAACATCAAGACCTTTGCAGAAAGGTACGATTCCCCTTTGTTGAATAGCAGAGGGTTTTTCAAATCCTACATAGACAACCAACTTCAGTGCGCGCTCAATCCTGGTAAGGCAAGCAACTAAACAAAGAGGAAAAGGAAAAGTAAAATAGAACTTTCCTTCCATGCTTATGTGCAAAAAGTTACACTTCTTCAAGACACATTTCAAGGAGGAGACCAGAAAGACCTCTATGATTCAATATTTTACCTCAACCATATAATTGAAACGAAATTATGGCACTAAAAGAGTTGAGAATCAAATGTAAATGGGCTGCAAGATAATAAACCAAGCAATGCAACTAACATAAAGCACCAATCTTGAGTTCAAAGCTGAGAAGAGATATACCATATGCATAGATGCCCCTCAAGAGGTTCTCCTGCAAACCCATACCATCAAAGCTGTCCCAGACCTCATCATATGATGTAAAGAAATCTTGTCCACCAGCCGAAAGCCTGTGAACACAAAGAAACAAAAGAAATTTTACTTGCATCTAGTTGAAGGTGCCTACTCTGCATCGTGTTGGAAACTCTGGATATCAGAATTTGAAGAAAATACAAAATCTTATCTTTCTCAGGAACTAGGTAAGTAATTCATTATGTGACAGAATGATTGAAAAAAATTAACTTGTTCATACAAATCACTCATTTTGGTATCATATTGGCGAGCATCAAACTGTGATCCATCTGTTGCCACACCTGCCATGACTGCCAATTTTTCAAAAGTTAGGCACCTACATCAACATCTCCATAGTTTTCAAGAAAACACAAATTCAAAACAAAATATATTAAACCAGTAAACCAAAGCAAATTACGGACATGATATTTCGTTTCAGTTCATATTTCCTTCCCTGAATTCTAGTTCAAAATTCAGCTACGATTTCCGTCAACCTCAAAAGTAATTTGTTTATGATCTTTAAGACTTTTAACAAGCTACCTTTTGATCATTACAGAACATTATCCAGTACTGGAAAATAAACATGAAACTGACAGCATCTCATCTACTACTTGTATCTTTATACATTTTGCAATTTAGTCATTCAAGTTCAATCTGATCCAATGATCCTTGAACGAAATAAACGGATCACCATCTTAGTCAAATCCCAGAAACTATTTCATATCTTTCTTTTACAATGCAGCTTAATTATTTGTACAACACCCACTGCAGCTCGCACAGAGCAGATATCTCCATCCATGTTAAATCCAAACAGAAAAGAAAATTAAAACTCTTGCATGCAACAAATGAATCAATATTTATGCAATTATTTTAGAAGATCATTGTAGTAACATATACAGCACCAACACTGAAATGTACAAGGAATCACACAAGAAGCGCTGCAAAGAGAAATAGAATAGCACCCAAAATAGAGAAATCGATCGATAAATAGTGTCAGAAATTCGTCGGAGTAGAGAAAAATGTTGGATAGTTGCAAAGTATGTTCCTTTTTTCTTTTTTTGGTGCCCTTTGTGTGTGTATGTATGCGTGTGAGAGTGTGTCGCACACTCCTCGGATCTTATAGCATGGAGTGTTCACAGCGGGAGAGGGAGAGGGGAGAGTATCGAGTGATAATGATGATTAGAAAAGGAAAGCGTCAACATTTTTTGTTTAGTTTGTGGAAGTTGTCCACGGGACTTCCCATTACATAAATTGCACGTGGCTACTAACTATGATGAGTTTAGTTTAGAAGATATATAATTTTCTAACATCCACGGTTCTCTTTGAGTTTAAACTGATCCCTGAAATAGTTTCCATGTGCCAAAAAATATTTGAGGTCTCCAATCAAAATCAAAAGCCCATTAGTCCCATATTTTCAGATACATGGACACTGGACGATGGGCTTGTAACAATGAAGACGGTTCTGGCAAGAATCTCCCTAAAATAGAGAGGGATTATGTGGGAATATTTACAAGGCAAGTTTTCTACTAAAAAATGGCACTGCGACTGCTCAACAAACCACCAGTTGCAAAGAGAGGATTTCACTGCCGGTCGTATTTAGGGGCCAGCATTCATTTGTATGGTGTTTGAAGCAGAAACTTTTTGTAAAACTTAGATAGTTTTCCAAGGACGTATATACGTTTTGATATCTCAGGGGAACGGTCAGCGTCCTGTTGCCGCATCTTCTTTCCTCAACTTCATGAATATTTTGCCCCGGCTGGGCGTTGTGCAATTGTCTTGCTTTGAGAAAGCCAATTGAACGGCTCTTTCTTAGCCTCTCTATTACAGCATGCAGTATAGCCCCGTCCACCGCAATGGGCATTAGAATCTATTCAAACTTTAAACAAGTTATGAGCAGGCCTTCATTGGTTCATGTTTTGGTCCGAGCCTCACCTCTTGGCATGTTTAGGCATATTAGAAAACATCCAACAAGACTACCGCACCTGACTCGTCCAACTTACAGTGGCCTTCGTGACTTGTCCATATTCCTCGCAATTCATGCGGATTAATGGTATCCATAGGTACAATTCGGTGACTTCTTGCAGTCTAATGAACGAGTAGTTTGCAAGTTTTTCATGGATAGACTTAAAAAACTATTCTGTTAAAGGAAAAAGGTGAGAAATCCGATGTAGTAGTGTGCTAGTTTGGTTTTTCTTTTTCACCATCCAGTTTTCTGTTATTCCCAAATTTCTTTCTGAGTAATCAAATTATTTACTGTAACATCTAAAGAGGTGCTATTAGGGCAGAGTAAGAATCAAGAAGTAATGAAGGAAATGCTAGAAGCCCAAAATTTTCTCAACGTCATTCCCCATTTGGCTTCCAATATTTTCTGATAGTCACAAGTTCCACATCCACGGAAGCGGGCATTTCATCATTTGTTCCTCAGATCCTTGTCCTCTCAGACAGCAAGGATGTGATAGAAATAAGACTTTTCACAACATATTGGGAAGTCATCAGTGCACGCTACTTAGCTTTGACTAATGCCGTCTAAAGCCCTCTGCACCGGAATGTACACAAGTGGCTCCCAAACTGCGAGATGATATCCACCAATGCTCCATAACCAGCCACAGCGACAACCTGAGAACAATTAAAAAGAGGAAGTATAGGTAACGAATTAACTACCATGCAGCGCTCAATCTTCGAAGTACAAAATAGTCGTAGCATGTGGTTAGTGATTATCATAATTTACTTCCAACACAAATCATGAATTCAAGTGATCCCCATTAGCAGAATGGAATACAAGAATGTTCACAAGGTAGTTTTGCAGTCTGAAACATAACTCACCCCAGAAGAATGTAAAGAGACAGAAAATGAAGACTGTGGAGCACATTGTATCTTGGAAATAGTATCTCCATTCATGTCAAACCGGCTGACCACTGGTTCTGTCCCAACTGCTAATATCTGAAATACAAAGGTTAAAGAGTATCATATGAAACTAATTGATGAAGAATTCATACTAGGAAATGAAGAAGGTTTACATGGCCGAAATGCTGACAAAAGAGGATCACATCTAATATGAAAAGAAATGATATAACAATATCTTCATCGACGTCCAACTCAACATCCCGCACTAACTGCCGCAATTCATAATAATGATGTAAAGTTATTAAAGAAGAAGAGCAGGATTAAACTGAAACTGCAGTTGAAGGAGATACATGTGACTGAAGAGTTGCGCCAACAGACAATCATCAAGAATTATGGATACACTCTAGGAGGAAATTCCGTCCCCAACAAAAAGACAGAGAGTCAAAAATAAACGCGTAAAAGAAGAACCAAAAAATGTTATGGTAGATGATGTCAGAGGTCTGAATAAAGTATTAGGTATACTTAACCTATTAGACAAGTTTTAGAAGTCCACCACTAATCAAACATTTTGAGTCAACACATAGAAATTTAAGAAAGATGTTATACAAAAGAAATATATGAAAAGATGAGAAACTACAAGTTATTGATGCTTATAAATTCAGAGACAAGCCCAAGCACCTGCACTTTATTGATCGCAGAATGTCAAGATGTGAAATACATGTTAATTCAAAAGAACCACATTCTTAAGGAAGATGATCAAAGACATTCAATTGTAAAATTAGCCTCTGACAACAGAAAATTCTGATGTTACAAAAGCAGTTCAGTGGAGAAGAGCTTATGGAATAATATTTAGAGCACGAAAGACTCACTTGGTTATTGTCAAATAAAACATCCTGTACAGAAGCATTTGTGCTCATCCTTGACACACACTCGCAAGCAAGAAGATTCCAAAGAGATAATGACCTACCACTCCCACAAGCCTACAGGGGGTAAATGCACATCCAAGTGAGTAGCAGATAACTTTTCCCTTACAAACAAAAAAAACTATCCAATTTTGTTCAATTATTTTAGTCAAGAAAAAGAAGACTACAACAGAAGGCCATACCCAAGACATTGCATACAGGTATACAGAAAAGAGAGATGCCATGTAAAGGTACTCAGAATGGGGAAAAACTTAAAATCAAAGGTACTCAGAATGGGGAAAAACTTAAAATCAGGTGTTACGTGAGTTCTTACCAACCAGCTCTCACTATCATCGAGAGCAATGCAACTGATATATGGAGAGGCGTCTTTCAAAGACTTATCCTTCCCTGGATTAATTCTTTCTACACACTTCCCACTTTTGCAGTCTGCTTTCACACCAATAGAAAAAGAGAAGAGGAAGGGGGAAAAAGTGCACAGATAAGTGAGAATAAGCACACAGGACATGAAAGATGAATAAGCACACAAATGACTTTAAGAATCATATTTACCCCATATTCGTATTGTCCCATCCTCTGAGCCAGTGATTATCTGAAAACACACTAGAAAGAAAGCAGAAAAAGAAACAGATTTAAGCAAAGTGGGAAATGAAACATAGAGATATCACTTAAGAATACAGCTACAGCATCAATACTGGAACATGAAGTTTTCAGGCTAATTTCTTAAACAGTGTAAATAAATCATGAATATCAGCATATAAACCCTAAGAAAATCCACCACTACTGATACATGTTGAAATACTTCCAAGAGGAAATCACTTTCTCACTTGATTGGACATGAGTAGCAGTAAAGTCAGAAGCCTAAAGCAACTGAGTTCACAACCGAGAAAAGAACACTATGCAAAGACGAGAACAGTAGAAAATAACAGTGGAATAAAAAATTACAAAATAAAGAACCAATTCTTTCAAATAAAAACCAATAAGATGTCGAAGGAAAAGATAGGTTATACAAAAGGCAATACCAGGCATCAACCTCTTACACAGTCCAAAGAATAAATGACAAAAAATAAGTACATAAACTAAGAATGAGAACCAAAAAATTATTTAGACCTGACTGTGAGAGCTTTGGGCAACAATGCAATGCAGATAGTCGGAGTGACCCCTGAAAACTGTTTTGATTTTAGACTTCTCCTGGTACAATATACCTCTTTTCAGTAAAATTGAATCATTTGCTAAAAGCGAAGATAGAAAAGCAACAAAGATAATCAAAGTTTAGAAACAAAGGGTGTCAATTAACAAACAAATACACGAAAAAGGAAAAAGGTCTACATGA